GGGGACACGGGTTCGTGCCCTGGTCCGGGAAGATGCCACATGCCGCGGAGCAGCTGGGCCCGTGAGCCATGGCCGCTGAGCCTGCACGTCCGGAGCCTGTGCTCCGCAGCGGGAGAGGCCATAGCAGTGAGAGGCCCGCATACCGCAAAAAAAAAAAAACACACCATGAGATAATACCACACACCCACAAGAATGACGAACAGTACCAAGTGCTGAGAGGCTATGAAGCTACTGGAGCTTTTATATATTGCAGGTGAGTGTATAAAATGGCACCTCTTTTGAAAACTTTTTGGCAGTTGCAACTAAAGTTAAACATAAACCTACCCTATGACAAAGCAATTGCACTCTTAGGCACACAAGAAAAATGAGAGCAGACGTCCACAAAAAAAGACTTGTTCAAGAATAAAACACCTTCATTACACCAAAAAGTGGAAATAGCCCAAATATTCATCAATAGGAGAATGGATAAACAAATTATATATTCATACAAATAAAATGAGCAACCTACTGATACACGCAACTACCTGGATAAATCTTAAAATCACTACATTGTGTAACGATTCCAAGCACAGAGAGTATATACTATATAATTGTATTTATATGAAGTTTGAGAACAAATAAAAGCATCAGATGTTAACTAGACTTATTTTGGTTATCATTTCACAATATACAAATATTCAGATGCACAAGTGTACACCTGAGACTAATATGTTACATGTCAATTATACCTCAGTAATAAAAAACAAACAAAAACAAAAGGAAACAATGTTTACCTCTGGAGGTGGATATTGGCTGGGAATGTGCACAAGAAAACTCTCTGTATGACACCTCTGCTCCACATCCATCATTACAGTCATTCTACCTCTGAACCATACCTAAAATCATCTTCTTCTCATGATCTCCACTGTCCTCACCCTAGGACAAGTCTCAACTGTCTCTGATGTGCAGGCCACAAGAAGAACCCTGTGCCTGAAGACTGAATGGGAGGACAAGAGCCCCCAGAGACTCATCAGATATGAGTGTTGTTCTTCTCAATGTGAATGAGCCGTTACCACAAAACTTCCATTCCTACTGATCCAGAATTTTAACTGATTTTCTTTTGAGCTTCATTTGGTTTTTACAATATTTCCAGTGCCTTAACCATAAAAAATGACATTGGTTCTATGGGAAAATGTATTCTGATTTTCAACAATTGATTAAAATTGTTAAAATTGATTAACTTTTTAGAACCCAGTCATTTCTTCATTGGAGATTTTCCTCTTGTTTTTATGGTATTTTTAAGTATCTCTAAATCTTTTTAATGGGTTTATATTCTGTATTTCCAATCATCTTTGAAAATCACAAAGGGCAGGCTCTTCCATTACTTGTGTTTGTGTGTTAGAGCATGGCATGCAGCACTGGATGCACAGGAAGCACAGCTGAAATGGAGCAGGACGCTATGGTCCTCCCCCCACCCCCCATGTCCTCTGCCTGCCTTTTGTCCGTAGAAAAACCTTAGTCAAAGTTGAGCCTGTATATACTCACTTGCAAATTTGCAGTTAGCCTAAACAGAGAGAAAATTTGAGTCAAGGTTTAAAACACTTTACAAGTAATTTTGAAACAACATAAAACATATTTGCCAAGTTTAAAAGTAATTAATTACAAAACACAATTAAAGAAGTGGAGCAGGGCTTCCCTGGTGGCACAGTGGATGAGAAGCCGCCTGCCAATACAGGGGACACGGGTTCTATCCCTGGTCTCGGAAGATCCCACAGGCCGCGGAGCAACTAAGCCCTGTGTGCTACAACCACTGAGCCTGTGCTCTAGAGCCCGCAAGCCACATCTACTGAGCCCATGTGCTGCAACTACTGAAGCCCACGTGCCTAAAGCCAGTGCTCCACTACAAGGGAAGCCACCGCAATGAGAACCCTGTGCACCGCAACAAAGAGTAGCCCCAACTCATGGCAGCTAGAGAAAGCCCATGTGCAGAGACAAAGACCCAACACAGCCAAAAATAAATAAATAAAATAAATAAGTTTATTAAAAAAAAAAGTAGTAGAGCATTAAAATTACATTTTAAAATACTAAGTTTTAAAAGTACTTCTTGTATTGTTCTGAAATTCTAAAACCGATTCAGTAGGGAGACATTAATATTCAGTTTATAAAAGTATTCATCAGTTTTCCCATAACTAGGCATCTCTAGTACATTCAGAATTATCCAGTTTACAAGTAATTCATTTATAAGTTAAACTTCCAGTATGTAAAATGGTTGCATTAAAACACTTCAGAATTTTATTTTAAAAAGTACTATTATAGTATAAGTTCACATTTATAACTGAAAACTTTTATGAAAGTTATCAGTCTAAAAAGTTACAGGTCCAAAGAATATTGATACTAATATTAATTAGGGTTGTCTTAGCTGTAAAAAGCAAAATTAAAAATTCTATAGCATAAACAAAATAGCAATTTACTTATCTCTCATGTAAGAGTCCAAGATTAATAGATCCAGATTAGAAGATCCAGTCATTTAGGGCCCCAATCTGATAGTGGACCTACTTCAATACATAGTTCCCAAACATCTCTCTGTTATCATTATTCTAGGCTACAGGAAAGAAGAGTGGGCAGAAGTCCAGGGCAAACCATTGCCTTTTAAATGGGTTAGACAGAACTTAGTGAGAACTTAGTCATATGGCCATGTGCAGCTGCAAGGGAAACTGGGAAATACTGTTGCTATTTGGGCAGCCCCATCCCAGCTACAGTCCTATAATGCTGTAATAGGAGGAAAACAGATTTTAATGAAGAGCTAGCATTGTCTGACACCCCTCTAGCCACAAGAATTCTGTGTTCATCCTTCTCCTGATATGCTCATCCCCACCCCAAGGGAGACAACTCCAAATTCCATCCAGGTGCTACATCCAGCTCAGATTCTGGGATCTCTGGGTGACTTGCAGTCATCTCCCTCAGACTCAAATTGGCTTTTTGTGGTCCAGCAGCTCATTAACTCAAAGGAAGTCACTAACTTCTCCAACACCCAATAAACCATGGTCTAATAGAAACAGGATGATTATATGAGAACTTCTTGTTCTTTAGTATTCAGTGGCCCTTCTGCTGCCATAAATCTTGGGGAGAGATAAGACAAGAGGTTAATATTTTTGAAATCTTAAGGGAGAGGCATTTAGGCAACTGGAAAAAAACCTGCTTTTTCTTTCTACAAGAAAGTAGCATTAGACAGAAGAAAAGATATTTGGTGACAAAAGACATTCTATTTCATGGTATTTGACGGTGAGGACACTAGTTAAATAAGGGATTTCTGGGGAAAAGTGAGAAGAGAATCCAGAACAAAAGTAAATAGTAGCTTTATTTTTTAAAGAAAAATATGAAATTTTTCATTAGCTTGTCTTAAGATGACTATTGAGAGATTAATGACATTTTGATAATAAGAACCATATCAAAAAGACAGAACCACATCAAAACACAAAAACACTTTAATTACTGAGAAATATATATAACTCCATCCTTAAGCTTCTTTCCCTTTATTCTCTCATTAGGCTATGTTGATGTCATGTGTTCCCCACTGTGTGTGTGTTTACGTGTGTGTGTGTGTGTGTGTGTGTGCATGTGTGTGTGTGTTCATATAATTCAGACCATATTTTGAACAGGAGACTTCCTGATGGAGCCAAATGATTTCCCAAACCAAAGATCTATTTTTAAACATATTTTAAAGTAGTTGAAATAAGGCAACAGCTAAAAGCAGTTCAACTAAAGTGTAAACTGTAAAGGCAGGAGTTAGGCAAAGAAAGGGGATGCAATAGAGAGCTGAGAAATGGACAAAGGACTTGTGGCTAAAAAAGACGTAAAAATATCCTCATAAAGGAGCAGTACCTATAGTGATTGAAGCCAGACTGCCAGGTGTACCTTCCTGCCTTTCCACTTACTTGCAAAAGAAGTAGTTGATAGTACGTTTTTCTTGGGATTGCTGAGAGGATTACATGTGTCCATTCCCATTGTATCTTTTGTACCATGTAAGGTAAACCCTTGAGAAATAGTGATTGGTCTGGGAAGGATACTTTTGGGGTGATGTTAGTAAGTCAAAACCCAGTGCTGGAATTATTGGCATCAAATCACCTTCAGCAAGGTTGACTCAGGGAGTAGTATAAGGTGCACAAAGATGCATGGCATCTGTCACAACCCAGCTCTCCCAGAACCCCTTACACCTGTCAAAATAGACTCCTGGGTTGAATAAGCCCTGATTCTGACCCAGTGTATGAAATCCTATATCCATTACATTGGTCTTTTCCGAATATTTTGAAAATTTTGTTACATTTTAAAAGTGTAATCACACGGGTAGCTGTGTGTTTGTAATCACACAGATAGCTGTGTGAGGGAAGTTCTTTTTTACAGTATTTTTATTTTTTTGAAATTATCTGTTTGTGTATCAGTCTTCTCTACTAAACTATAAGCTCCTCTAAGTAGGAAACTTAATCCCCTCACTCCCCACTGTACCCGAGCGCCCAGCTCAGTGCATGGGTATTTTAAAGTAAATTTCTTCCCGTAGCACGGAACGAAAGATCCGATTTGTGGGGTTGGGGGTTGGCTTGGAGAGGTGGACAAGGGGCCGGGGTGTGTTCTGACAGATCTCCTGAAAGACATGTTCTCCGCTTAAGCTTTTGAGCAAGACTTGCCTCGGGGTTGTTGGTGACAGTTTCCCTTCACCAGTAGGAGTCTGTCACTATAAGACAACACCAGGAAGTTAAAAGTGAATGGGAAGGGCGGGTGATGGAGATTCCGGCCCCTAGGGTCTCCCCTGAGAGTAGCTGAGAGTGCGGGCAACTGCAGGTGAAAAACAGAGAGGGCATAGGGTTAATTTTTTCTGCCCAGAGCAGGTTTGGCCCACGTTTTCTCCCCTCTGTGGGGTAATGGGTGCTGCGGAGTGGGCGGTGTGTTGGCTGAAAGGAGGTGGAGCTGAACAGCCCCTCCACATTGGCTATTGCTGCTGTTTGTACTTTGTTGCTTTACATTTCTTTGCAAAGAGCTGAAAGTGCAGTGCCCTCCAGATCGCAGCTGAAGGATCTGCCAGTGTTGGGGCAAAGGCAGCGAGGTCGGGCACCGCAGCAGAGCTCTCAGCTCTGGGTCTTCCAGGCACAGGGCTCACCCGTCCAAGGTGTAGTAGTTCCCGGTGGTCCACGAGGACACTGGAATCTGGGTTCCCCAAAGGCACCTGCTGCTGCAGAATTTATCTAAATGCCACGTTCAAGCTCTTCTTTGAAAGGTGTTAACTGATGTGTGCTTTCTGTCTTTTGTCATCCTTTCTTTAGGACAGGTTACACTGACCCAGCCCGGTGACGATCTCTGGAGACCATGACCAAGAAAAGAATCGCTGTGATTGGGGGAGGAGTGAGTGGGCTCACGTCTATCAAGTGCTGCCTGGAAGAAGGCTTGGAGCCCGTCTGCTTTGAAGGGACTGATGACATCGGAGGGCTGTGGAGGTTTCAGGTAAATCTGGTTCCTTAATACCTGGAACTCTCGCCGTAACTAGGTGCATAAGATATTTTACCTCGTGTCAGGAAGTATGATGGGCTTCACAGTGATTAGACCTGCCAGACTTCAACCTGCTGACCTCCTCTCAGCAGCCATCACCTCAGGTTCTATGCAGGTCCTCTTTCCCTACGCTGGCAGCAAAATGGGACGCAGGTATCACTCGTTTTTTCCTTCACTGATGTCTGTGAAAATGGCACAGAGATCATTTTCATTTACAGATATTCCTTGATTTACAATGAGGTTACCTCTTGATAAGCCCATCGTAAATTGAAAATATCCTGTTACAAATGAGTTTAATACACCTAATCTACCTAACACCATAGCTGAGCCTAGGCTACCTTAAACGTGCTCAAAACACTTACATTAGCCTACAGTCAGGCAAAATCATCTCACACAAAGCCTATTTTATAATAAAGTGTCGAATAGCTCATGTAATTTATTGAATGCTGTATTGAACGTGAAAAACAGAATGGTTGTTTGGGCGCAGAATGGTTGTAAGTCTATCAGTTGTTTACCCTCCTGATCCTTCCAGCTGACTGGAAGCTGCCACTGCCCAGCATCACCAGAGTATGTTACAAAATATCGCTAACCCAGGAAAAGATCAAAATTCAAAATTCGAAGTGTGGTTTCTATGGAATGTGTATCGCTTTTGAACCATTGTAAAGTCAAAAAATCACAAGTTGGGCACTGTCTGTAATGAGTTTTGCTGCTATCCATAAAAGGGTAACAATCTTGGTAGGAGGGTGTAGCAGAATGGCAGACATGTAAAGTGGTTGCTCTTGGTCTGCGTTCATCGGTAAGTGATCTAGAATACTGCTAACAACTCCTTCCAGGAATCCCCCTTTTCAATCTCTGCTAACCTTACTGTTTTTTTTTTCTTTTCTTTCTTACCTTCCTTCCTTCGTTGCTTCCTTCCTTCTTTACTTTAAACAATTCTCTAATGATTCTAGTGCTTGAATAGGATATAAAACCTGGCTGCCTTCCTTGCTTTGCACTTTTCCTTCACTTGAGAAATCAAAGCAGTAGTCCTGTCTTCAGAGAAGGGCAGAGGGCACCTGCAACTGGGTTTTCTTGTCCTTGCACAGACTCAGTTTTAAAGTTGAGCTGCTTTAATATGCACACCGAGCCCTGCAACTTGTTACTAACAGTTAAGGTATCTTCTTACTTAAATGATAGTTAAGCTTATTATATGTCAAAGAATATCACCCTCCTTAACTGATCTCCAAAGCAACATCCATTGGGTTTGCTTCTCAACTCACTTTTTAAGCCAGTGAATGGTATTAAGGTGTCCAGGTTTGTTTCATATTTCGCAAAACGAACACGGTGCTGCCCAGCTACTTAAAAGTGGTTCCATTCGTTCATAGCATTCCTTAGTAGAACAGCAGTACAGTTGTTTTGCATCCGGGCTCCGTCTTGGGGACTAACTCTATTTGACAATCGTCCCTATTCGGATCTAGGGTGGATACTCCTTAGCACACCATGCATGCCTCGGTCATAGTCAGTCTTGGGCATGGCTGAAAAGACTGTTAATAAATATTTTGTAATCAATAGGAAATTTTAGTTTTGAAATCCAGCCACAGCATGGTGTAGACGTTAAGAGCACGTCTGGGTTCAAATCCTACTGTGACCTTGGGGAAAACCATTAACCCTCTCTGTACCTCTGTGTTGTCATCTTTAAGAAGGAGATAATACTGGCACCCACTTCATAGAGTTACTGTGGGGATTAAGTGAATGAATACTTACATCATCACTAATAACAGTGGCACAATAATTGCTAAACATCAGTTATTATTCAGTAGGCCTAGAGTGTGGCCCACACATTTGGTGTGTGGTAAGCATCCTAGCCAGGTCTGGCAACTACTGACCACGCATGAAATTAGTGAAGGGTCCACCATCCCACCTGATCATCAGGTTTTATTTCCAAAGTGGTTTAAACCTCCTCTCTGTTAAAGACCCAATTTGGAGTTTTTTCTGATTATACTCTTGGCAAAATTTCAGCACCTTATAAACTGCTTTCTTGAAAATAAATAAGCTATATTTCATCATAATGCTCTGACTGCTGTTAAGACACCACATCTGTGTCTATTACATTATATACAACATACATATATTTTACATATATTATAAATGCACACACAAACACCACTATATTTCTAGAGCCACGGGGGATGCCTGGCATATATTAGGCACCAAATATATTTACATTTTATAAATGAATCCTAGAGAAGCAAAATATCTTGGGTGACTGCTTAGAATGCTTGTGGAAATAGAGACCTTCATTCTCACATATTCCACAGTTACACAGTTGTGGAGCCTGAGGTATTATAAACATCCATTAATTGCAGATTAAACATGTTTTACATGCTGATGCTGGTTTCCTCAAGAATTGCCTCAGATCTGCTTTTCTGTGACCCCCTTGCTTGTTATTTGGAGCCTTCCTCTCTCCCATCCTACCCCCCCTAAATTTTCTGTAATTCATTGGGGGTTTCATATATAGGATTGTCCCAAGCACTATAATTCATTGGGGGTTTCATATATAGGATTGTCCCAATTTCAAAATTCCCACTTTGGAATTCCACCATTGCTACCGGGTGTCCAGTAAGCCACTGGCAACTCAGGGCTTCCGTTTTCTCTTTCTTGTAACAGGTCTCAGGGACTCAATATAAATTTCTTTCTTCTTGATCTCCTCATTAAAGTTAGACCAGACTGATGGTGAAAAGTCGGTAGAAATGTGAGACATATCACTTTAATTTTCATACTGCAATATTACTTTATGAACGAAATAGCTTAAAATGATAAATCTCTTATGAAATGCTGAGGTTTTAATGAGCATGTATTGCTGGAAAATAATTTTTAATATTCTTTAGTCAATCTGAATTTTAAAAATCCTTAAAGCATACCAAAGCAGTGCTTCTCCAACTTTAATGTGCACATGAATCACTGGAGCTTTTGCTGAAGTGTACATTC